AAGGAAGAGACAAATGAGTAAATATGTATATTTTTCTTTTTTAACTGTTTGCAACCTGATGTAACTTAATGTTCCCATCAGGTCACTTCAGGCCACACTTGCATTAAATGATCATATCGTCTTACATCTATGGAAGAATGAAAATATGCTTTCTTGTGTTTACATTTGGGATGTATATGATGATACTAGCTTCAGCAACCTGTTGCACCAGTGGAACACAAGATGGAGTTTAAAGTCAACACTAACTGCTACATAATAACGAGTTGGTTTCCCACTAAACTCACCAATTAGTCCAGTTACAACATCATTACTTACACTACATATCATGTATTACAGCATTTGTGTAAAATGTGAGAGTAAGCAGCTGCCAATTAGTGACAAAGTAAGAGACCTACCACAGACAAGAGATTGTTTTACTAAAAACTAGAACCTATTGTAAACTGTCACATGTGAACTTGCTAACATTGAATACAGCATACATTTTCTTCTCTGTCGTCATCATCTTTATTATTATCTAAATTATTTAATAATTTAGCGGCCATTTGTTGATTGCTTTTGTGGTACTTAAATATGTGTTTTACAGTGGTAGGCACATCGTCACACATAAATAACAACAACAAAATCTCTGGAAAACTTCCATCTTGGCATTAAAGATTCTGCCAAAGTCAACACCTTAAGGGTAAGGTACACATTTAGAGTTGTATCTATAGTTGATAACTAATATCCCACACTATGTTCAAGCTGGCTTCTATTCTTCCTTTACTCCCTTATCACAATCTATCTTTGTGTACTCATTGATAGATATAACATCCATCTATAATAAAAATGAAATCAAGATGATTTGCTTAGACTGTAGATAGAATATATTGCTGGATGACTGGTTAAACCACTATGACATACATTGTAGTGACAAAAGAAACTATCATTTAGAGTTCAAGCCAATTCATATCTCTCAATAATTTCTTTTGAAGTCACTTTTAAATCTTTATTTTACAGTTATGGATCTTTATTTTTGGTCTGGAGTTTTTTTTAAACACTATTGTATGAAACCTTACTAACTGTAGGTATAAAGACCCCTTAAATAAAATCGCCTGCTTGTGAGAATAATTAAAGTGTTATCATAATAATTGTTTCCTACATTGTGGAGACTTCCCTGTTGTCTTGTAGTTGCCAGGTGTCGGATAGTACGCAGAGCAACGTGGTGCAGAACTGACATCAATGCATTAAACTAAATTAAACAAGAAAACAGTGGAGAAAAAAAAAGAAAAGTGTCATCATGACATAATTTAATATAAAGTGCAGTAATTATCCTTCAATCACTCAAACGCAAAATTTATCCTGCTATTTTTTAACTGCGTTGTTGTCGAGCAGATGGTGTGTGTTAAGTTATGGACCAAATTTAAATTCATGTTGTTGTTTTTCTTTTACACCTTGTGTTGTCCTCCTCGGCAGCTGTTAACACTGTTTGATAATGTGTCAGATAAGTGATGAAACAGCTCTGTAGTGAATACATTTTACACTTGTCTGCTACTAAAGTGATTTAAAAGTCAGGTGTGTGTGTGTGTGTGTGTTTGTGTAAGGGGGGGCAGGGAGAGAAAGACAGAGAGAGAAGGAGAGAGAGCATGTTTCTTTATTCAGGCATATCAGAATCAGAAATACTTTAATAATCCCAGGGGGAAATTATTTTGCATGTGTATGTCAGTGTTACTATTTCTGTATGTGTGTGTGTGTGTGTCTGGTCTTGAAGTTAATTAGTATAATGATCTCTAGATAAGACTGAAGCTGTTGGCTGTCAGTCTGGTTTTCACAGCCAGCCTTAGAGCACGCCAAGTGCATGTGTCTAAAACATGTTGGGTTCGTGTGTTACAGTGGGGACTGTAGCCACCAAGATCCTTAATTATTTTCCAAAGATTGCCTTTCTATCCACAGCCAGTTAGCCAGCTTCTTATCGACCTGCTAAAACCCAATGTTTTAAGCCACAAATTACAGATCTGCTAAGTAGTTGTTTAAGAGAAGCTTTAGTTTTTATCAATCTGCTGAAAAACAGAAGAATGCAGTGTTATGCAGCAGCTGCATGAACTGTAACACAGGGGCGGGTCCAGAGAATGTTCTGGTGGGGGGCACAGGGCGGTAACAACACATGTAATCTGGGGTGGGGCCGGCCGCAAAAAATAACAAAAATGAAAGCTGCCACTGGAATCGCCCACTTCAGATCATGGGCGATCCACTTCAATATATTCGTGTACATTACAAGTTTGTTTTCATCTTGCTTTTCTTGGCCACAAAATAAATCTGCTAGGTGTACTCTTACCAAGTGGTAACACACAGAACCACTCAGCATTAGTTTTGCCTGTACCGGGTTGTAGCAAGAAGTTAGGTGCTTCTAGGCTCTGTAGCATGTGAATCATGTAGCAGTGTTCTGTATAGTAATCAGTTTTAAGCAGAGTAGGTACCACCTACCACTAAAAATAAGAACATTAACCATATTCTATACTCTAAATCAGCACTTAGTGCTCAGCTTTGTAAAGCTTTGGTAAAGAGCTTTAGCACAATGATTGACATTACCCCGAGTCAATGACCATTGGGGGGGGCACACGGGGTGGCCAATCAGATTATAAGGGGGGCGGGTGCCATGGAAGCCCCGCCACTGCTGTAAAACAACAAGTAAGGTAACTCACTGCTACTGTAAATGCAATGTAAATGATTTCTGCCCAAGATGTTACATTGTGTGCTACGTGGTAAGTTTTCTTTTTAAGATTTCTGGCTCAAGTGTAATGCCATTTTAACAATAGAATATACTGCAGGATACCACTGTCATGCATCAATATCTCTACTCTCCTCACTCGAGTAACCAGTGATTGGCAACCAATCACAACCCTGACAGGACCACCGTCCAAAAGCGCCACACAACAGCCATGAAAACTATTTTTTTCGGTCTGTTGTGGACTTCTATCCACAGTGCTGGTATTTTAACCTAAACACAACAATGCTGTTCAAAAAGAATACAACCACTGCCTTTGGGTTTAAATGAATTGCACGTCCTGCTGTGTTAAAACACAATACATGTAGTCATAGATACATTATATTGACAAATACTAGCACTACTAAATAACAAATAGCTAAGACAGTAGATAGTTACAATTGTATAGTAGTATATGTATTTTCATTTCTGAGCTTCATGTCGTCACACCTTCCTCAGCAGTCATCTTGGATAAAATAAGAAGTAGGGCACCGTAAAAACGACAACAAAGATTTGTTTGGATTTAGCCAATATTAAGTCGCTCCACGCACATTTAGCAAATCAGAGAAGAAGAAAAATATCCACTCATCCCACTGTCATTTTACCCGCCGTCCTCTCTCGTGGAACAACGATTGAGGAATATTTTGCCTGCGACAGCAACTTTGCGCTTAATTAGTTGATGGAGTGTTTCTTCACCCGTAGCCAAGTGATAGCTTTTCATCTGCAGAATTAGTGCCAGTGGATTTACAGGGGAAACGCTGATTCCGGCGGCTGCTTTATTATCCCAGGTTAATGCCTCACAGCTGACGGTTTTAACTATGACAAGTGTACACACTGTTCACACACACAGTGGCATGTGTACACTTATAGAAACACACGCCTGTAAGCACACACGTAGAACCTGTGATAAAGCTGCCAGCATTGTATTAACTTAGACAAACACATATTCATTTTCCTGCTTGGTGGGAGATATCTGTCTGTGTGTTTCTTAATGTTGCGTTTTTCTTTGACGTGATTAGAGAGTCATGACAGAGGTTGAGAAGGCGGGATTAAAAGAAAAGGCTGATAGACACAAAATAAAGACAAATTCTGGACTAAAATAGACTAAAACCTTGGCTACGGTTCTACTTTCAATAGAATTTGTGTGAGGCGGTACTTTCATCTCGGCATGAAAACACTAGGAGAGAAAGTTGAAAAGAAACGTGGTAGATGAATGAGAACTGAGTGACAGGGAGTGTAAAGACGGGATGGTATTTAATTAAAGTCATTACACCTCACTTGCATGCTGTCAGACACTTGCTTAAAGCCTGAAACCTCCTCCTTTCCTCTCCTCTCCTCTCCCTCTCCTCTACTACTATTCTGTTGCATTTCCTTCCCCTTTTTTCCTCTATTCTTTTATGTCTTCTTTTCGCCATATCCTCTCCTTGCCTCTTTTCTCATCTTGTCCCTATCGAATTGTCTCATTTTTTTCTCCTCCTCCCTTTTTTTTCTCCCCCAGCTTCTATTCTAATCTACGATGAAGAGACAAAAACAAAGTTCATTTTAAAAAAGTACTAGAAGCTGCACACATTAACAGACCACACACACACACACACACACACACAGAGACACACTCATGAAAGGTCGCCATCTCATCTCGTATCTCCTTCATTTGTCTCTACGAAGCAGAATTCATTCTTCTTCTTGTAATCATGATTGTGCGACCGCCTTTGTGTGTGACTGGCTTTGTGTGTGTGTGTGTGTGTGTGTGTTTAAAAGTGAACACAGCTCATTAGGATACTGATGGCCTTGCAGGAGACCTTGCGGCCGGCCTGCCACTGCTTTATTAATAGGCACTCTGATTAAAGGTTTTGCAGTTGTGTGTGTGTGTGTGTTTGACTTTCAGTGTGTTACTGCAGCATATATTTGTGTTGGTGAGCAGAGTGCACACACACAATTTGCTTCATCTTGTGTGTTTTTATGTATCGTCTCTTATCTAAGTCAGGTGTGTAAGTGAGCAGGAGTGTGTATGCGCAGTGTCCTTTTTGTGTGTCCTGCCTGTGTACATCTGTCTATGTGACTGTAGCCATTTCCTGCCAGCCGATCTGTCTCTCCAGTGCGTTTCACTGGACGTAATGACTTTATTTTTACTCGAGGAGGATTAGAGGAGGAAAATGTTTCCACATTTTTCAGATCTCACCCTGAGGCCACCCAACTCTTCTGCCCCTCAGACCTCCCACCAACAGAGGGGTTTAGATAAGATGACTCACATGTCGAGGAAACAAAAGCTCTGTTGGATGGATGTGGCAGCACAGGGCAGCTTAGGATCAACTTCAGAGTTGAGATAAGTGTGTGTTGAGAGGAATTACACATGAAGCTGTGTAGCTTGTCAGACTTTAGCCTTGATTGTATGCTGATACTCTCAGTGGGAGTTTCTCCAGAAGAGGTTCTTCCTGACATCTGAGGAAAAGTGACTTTGTAACAGATGGCACAGTCCACCAGCATTGTTTCTGTTTTTAACCAGGCTTATATTTTGTAGAGATTGCGTTGTTAGTCTAATTATTTGACAACAGAATGAGATAATTCCATATGATATGCTAATGAGTTACATCTTCCCAATTGGGAACAGGTGTTTATTATAACTCTATCCACATTAATCCTCTCTGTATACCTTTTGTGGATTGCGGATGATTTACGGACTTGGGGGAAATAGGTGAAGTGAGAACACGGCCTCATATCAGATCAGATCATACCTCTGCCTTCTTCTACCAAGGGATGGGAGCACGACCTGTGAAAGTGGCCTCGGATAACGCACAGTAGCATACTAAGCTACGTTACTGATTCCATTGCTACCAACGGCAGATATAGAGCCAAGTCCCACATCACCTAACGCTAAGCTAACTTGGTCTATCACTGCCATCCCTTGGTTGTAGAATGCAGAGATCGAATTATATCATTCAATTTAAGAATGAGTTTTACATTTTAGGAAAAATGTGGAGAGAAATTTGACACCACTCATGTATGTAGAGTAAATATGAAGGCTTCACCAGCAGCTGCATGGCTAACTTAGCTTAGCAATAAAGACTGGAAACTTGGGGGAAAGGCTAGCCTAGCTCTGTCTTAAGGTAAATAAACTAAGCAATGTGCCAAGAATATAGTAGAAGCTAAAAAACAGTGCAGGATTTAGAATGGTTAGAAACCGGCTCTGCAAATGGATTCAAACTATGTTTTGTTGAGAAATACTGAACGCAATGTTTTCTTCTTCCACAGGGCTCCTTTTAAAGTTATAATAACTGAGGGTGTTAGACATGTTAACTTTACACATGTTAACACATGTTACAGTAAGCTTCTAGGAAATGAATGCAAGTCAAAACACTGTCCTCAAAAATAACACAATCATTTGTTTGTGTTTCAGTGAAGGTTCAGAAGTCGGACCACCCCCACTCCTGGGACCCCTGTGTGAACTACTGTCACCCTCCAAACTCCACCCTCTGCAACACAAGCTCCACCCTCAACAAGTCGTGGACGGCCTCAAATAATAACACCATCAACAGCCTTGACTACTGCAAGTGTAAGAACACACTTCCAGACTTTTTTTCTTTAATAATTCTTTAATGGTGATATTCTTTTGCCATGTGTTAGTAAGGAAACAATCAGCATCATCTTTCTTTTCTCTCACTTTTTGCAGCTCTGGTATCTGCTAGTTTCTCTCCCGGCTCTACGACTACATCAGGCCCCAGTAGCCAGAGCTCCAGCACCCTGCCCAGGCCTACAGTTCCCATGAGTCCACGTAATTCGCTGCTGAAACGACGGCAGAGGAAGAAAGAGCACAAAAGCTCCTGTAAGCTCCATACGTCTGTTTGTACAATGATATCATTTTTCAGAATTGTCATTAATAATCAAATAATCAACATTGCTTGTGTATCTGTGTGTGTTTAGTGTCTCTGGCGTCCAGTTCGGTGGGTCCAGGTGGTCAGGTAGTTCATGTAGAGACCAGTGAGATCGTCCTAACAGGCGATCCACTCAACGGCTTCGGTGTCCAGCTACAGGGAGGAATATTTGCCACCGAAACACTGTCTGCACCCCCACTTATCCGATTCATAGAGCCCGACAGCTCTGCTGAGAGGTGAGCACACACGTTCACGCGTGTATAAACTGCACACAACCTTTGTGTTCTTTACCAACCTGCCTTTCAACATAGACAAGAACATACTGACGTATAAGTTAACAATTGTGAAATTATAGTTTTAAAGGTAAAATGTTGATGATACACAAGCTTGTATGTTGAGTTATGTGGTTTTCTAATATACTATTGGGTAGTTTAAACATATTTTATCAGGCTATGTTTACTAAAAGCAGGCCAGAAAAATGTGTTGCGATAGTAGTAAAGCTAACGTTATGGCTTTGCGTATGTTTGTACACACAAACTCACACATGTGCTCACATGTACTGACTTTAATGCTTCATAAGCAGCTTTACTAAGCTTTCCTGTGTGTATTTGAATGTAAGTATTTGTGTGTATGGATGTGTGTGAGACTGAAGTTGGTGGTGTATTAACAGCTCTACTCGGCTCTGTGTGATGTGTGGGTGTATAAACATTTTTAAGCATTCACTGTATGCACATGAGTGTAGGTGGGGTTTTCCAAATACCGACATGCAAGTGATTGTGAGTTTACAATCCTCTGCTGCTTTGTATCTTTTTTTGCCCTGTAATTCATACATATCTGTTCACAACTTCATTTAGGTCTCTGAATTTATGTATCGCATTGTGTGTGTGTGTATGTGTGTGTTTACTGATTGATGTTCCCGTTGTATTAACAGCTTCTCTAAGTGCTGGGTGTGTTTCTCCACCCCGAGGCCACACTCCCTTCTCCATTAGCGCCCACACTAACAACACTAATTAGCTAGCTTCCCCTCGCCCACGCTGGAGGAATCGATAAGTTCCTTCCTTCCTGCTTGACAGGGTGAATCCAAATAAACCCCTCCACACAACCCTGAATTACACTTAACCAAAATGTATAGTCTCTAAAACCATAAGTCTTGTGCAGGAGTGACCAGCGAGTACATCCTCCTTTCAGGTTTTAGGCTGCACTTATCCTGCATTAGTGCTGTTGGAAGTTTTTCTATAAATGTTATTTAGTATCACTTTAAATATATTGTAGCAGTCCTCATATACTTGTCATTACTACTATTGAATGAATAATTTGCAATGTTTCATCTAAACTCTTATATTTTGCTACAAAAGCTAAATTTTCCAGCAGTGAGCCACTTCAGATCATGCCAGTAGTTGATGTGTACACCAAAAACCACAAGAAGGCATCTGTGAGGCATGGAGCCATTCCTAACACCATAATCACGTTCCACTTTTACAGTTTTTTTGATGGAAATATACAGTGAGTAATTAAATTAGGTAAGATGCTGATGAGTAAAAGAAGGATGCTCAAGAAAAGCACAAAGTAACTTTTGCAATGCAAAATGGAACAAAATAGCAAGGAATGCTTCAGTTTATGGTGAACATTATCAAATAGCAGTCTGAACATGAATATTTCCTTGATGCGTTACATTTAATACCAAATTTACAATAAGACATTAGCAATTAAGAATTGGCTGTAGTTAATGTTTCAACAAGTACACAGTGCTTTTGGTAGCAAGGACCAGCTTAAGTACCAGATTCTTTAAGGGAGTCTGGTGACAGATCATTAACTGCTACACTTACACTTGTGGTCTATATTGTCTGTACTTGCTGAGGGAGCACGGACACAGACAGACCTCTGCGTTTATCTATACTCGTCCTGACTGTTCCAGTTCAGAACCGGTTCCAAATTGTCCAATCCATCGGAAACGGATGCCTCTGAGATTATAAATTCCTTTTATAAACGCCGACATGTTTTTCTGACAGTTGTACATCGCGAAACAATGTCGCTTAACTCATTCGTCAACACTGGAAAACTTGCGACAGGAATAAACGGTCCAAAGCGTGCCTTCATGTCATGAAGCAACCCAGACTACTAGAACTGTATTTTTTTTCTATACTGTGTTAAGAGAAAGAGATAATAATACAGTTGCGTTGACGATGAAAACCTAAAAACTGACCAGGAAGCAAAAAGGTGGATTAAAGAGCATTCTTCAAACTGTACAAAAAGAAAGAATGCAAAAATGAAAGAGAGAAACAGAAAAGAAGACACATTAACTGGTAAATCCTGAACTCAAAATGGGAAAGTGAGGTGACAGTGAGAGAGGGCCATTTAATCCTCAGTAGATCATAATGAAGATGACTGTATATTAATTCAGGTCACCCACTCATGGCTTAATGGAGGATATAACAACTGTGTGTACGTGTGTGTGTCGTATTCATACAAGTGGAAATTCTAAGTGCCCTGAAAATCCAAAGGGTAGCAACTGCATGAAGGTGAGGCCTAGTTAAAGTCAGACAGATCACTTCATCTTCATTTTATCCAGTCAGAAGTTTCCTTGGTGCAGAAACTGCTGTTGATTTTTGACCCTTATGCCAAACTAAAAAGCAGTTACAATCACATTATCTACTTTTCCCCATTAATTCATTATAGCAGCAAAGTTTCACTGGGTGCACAGAACAGTGCAGAGGGTAGGTCTATCGCTGTGTGCCAGGCAGCTCAGTCTGTCTAATGTTCCACCTTACTATAATCTTCCTGCCAAGATCGTGGTTATTTTAAATTAGTGTTGTGCAGTTCGGACACACAGACAATGAGGTTTTCATCAGTCATTGATCGCAAGTCAAATCATCGGAATATAAGGTCAAAGTTGAAATTGTTTGGACTATGAGTGGAGCAGCAAGACATTCAGGGGCCATGCTATGCCAAAGGACAGCACTGCTGCAAGGTTCAGCATTAGACAGCAATGGTTCCTGTCAATGTCAAGTGAATGCTACATCAAGTAAGGGTAGCACTGTTGTAGTGCTACTTAGTTGGGCCAACAAATCTCTTTGGTCAAAAGCATCTGCCAAAAGAATAAATGTAAATGTTATTACCAAAAACAGCCATTAAAAAATTGCATTACCAGGAAAAACAATTAAAGCAAGCAAAACGAGAACACTATGATTTATGAGATTTGTGAAGTAATTATTTTTGTAACATTCATAACATTAAGAAAATTGCTTGCTTTTTGCACAATTTTTTTCTGGTTACAGGCTTGCTGTTGGTTCTGCTCTCTGTTTTTGAACATGGTTGACTGCCGCCTGAATGGAAAAAAAAAAACACAACCTATGTGCCCTCCTGGATGCCCCTCCACTGGAGAAAATGCTTAGCTGCCCTACATGCCAGAAAATGAGTTCTCTCTACGTGCCTCTAAATGGTTAACGAGTTAATACTGTAGTTCCCTGTGTGGTTTTTATTCCAGAGGTTAGTCTGAGTCACATCATTTAACATGTTTAATCTCATCACCACTTTCTGCGTGTTGCTGTCCTGCCACATGCAGCCCCTGCCCCTCAGACAGCCTGTCCATCACTGTATTGTGCATTAGTTTAATTTGGACATATGTTAGCGGTTTGTGCTTTTGTTGCAGTTTAACACTTGTGAGCTACATTAAATACACATAAAAAGTCGAGCCCTCTGTTTACTGCAGTGCTTAGATAGTTAGCTAACTGTCTAGCTTTAAACAGAACTTGTTGAAGACTTTTTATTGTTCTTTCTTTGTGTGTCTGGTGATTCTAAGCTTGTTTACGCAAACTTTGTCACAAATACTGCCATGTATAAGTGGAGTAACTTGAAAATGAAATGCAGTCTGAAAGACTAAGCTTCTAAAATTGAATTGAATTCACAGGCCAATATCAAAGGACTGAATGATTCCTTCATAATATACCACTGTTTTGCCAAGGAAAGGTATTTACATGATTCATGACTTTAATAGTCAGCACTAATATGCTTTGCTTTCGTTCCAGCACTGATTTATGTAGTGAGGAGCCAGGTTTGGGGGTTTCCAAATGGTGGTTGTTTGGAAATAGAAATCTTTAATATCTAAACAGCAGCTTTGGAAGCTACGGTAGCCTAAATTAATGTGATATGTAACACAGCAGGGAGTCTGAAGCTTCTTCTGGTGTCATCTGTCTTTGTAAAGTAAATTAAAGGAAAAACACGTCCCAGGTAGGGGGCTGATGATTAGTACACCTACATGCTTGAGTTTTTCTTTCACCTTTGGGAGCATTTTAACCCTGCAGGTAATCATATTTAAATAGGCACAGAAAATAGCTACATAATCGTGTTTTATTTCATCTCATACTCTGCCTATGGGGAGCCATAGTGAAACCAGAACTTCTAGATTCCATTCAGAATTAGGAAAACCTTATTCAAAATCACATTTATAACACAAAATACTCAAAATCCAGCCCTGAAATCAAAGGACAGAAACTGTTAAATTGGTTGCGTGCTGTAGCTGTAGTTTGATGAAAGCTGGGTTCAGGCATCAAAGCACTGAAATTGTAAAACATAGTGATGTTTGAGAGTAAATATCCAATGTTTCAGTCTTTCTGACATCACCATGGTAACTCCTGTTGTAGGTGTGGCCTGCTGCAGGTTGGAGATCGCCTCTTGTCAATCAATGGAATCCCCACGGAAGATGGAACACTAGAGGAGGCCAATCAGCTGCTCCGAGATGCGGCGCTGACCAATAAGGTCACATTGGAGATCGAATTCGATGTAGCAGGTGTGTGACATTCACAAAAGTTCAAGATTTCTCCCCCTGGTATTATTACACTGTGATATATCTTCACAAGATTTCTACCATAATTAACTGACTTAGTACTCTCTATTGGGACAGCGAGACTTTATTATAGCACACGTCAACTATGGGATGTTGTAAATGGTGTGTGACACCTGTTGATGCTGACACATGCTGATGTGTGCCTCATCACTGAGGGTTAGAAACATTTTCTATAGCAGCTGCTATACACGGCACATTCTTTATTAGCGAGCAATTAGCAGTTTTGTCACAGAATGTTTTTGCACAGACAGGATGTACTGGTCAAACTCAATTGCTGAGAGCTTTTGACTGTGCAGGCAGGGGTGGACAGAATAATTACAGCTCTTCCCTGAGGGGCATGGCCCCATCTACATGCTTTTAACCCCATGAAAATGTAACAACCACAGGGATAACCTACGAGCTCAAAGCTGCGTATTATTGTTCTGATTTCTATGTCAAAGAAAAGTCAGATCCAATTAGATTCTGAAATAAGTTTCTGAACTCAAACTCAAACACAGATTAAAATCTAACCATCTAATCTTTCACCATGAAAGGTGAAATTAATATTGAATAATTGTATTTGTTTTGAAGTGAATCTGCGGATTTCTAACATTTAATGGGTGGGGAGGAACAGCCTGGTGTTTTTCATTACTTTTGCTGGTTAGCTTTTGAATGATCATTCCAAGAGAAAACATGACTTGACCTTGTTTTGTTAAAGTTTCTTTACAGGGTCCCTGCGGAACATTCTTGCAAAGAAAAGTTATATTTACATTCAATGTTACTAACCAAAACACACTGTGTGTATCCTTGAGCCATACAAATGTATTGAATGTATTTACTTCCTCATAAACATTGTAAAGTCATTTTGTTTGACATCCTACATTGTTAAAGTTCACCTGTTAGCAGTCTTCTTCATTGCAGCATACCTTGGCATGTTAGCGAAACATGTAGAACAGTGGAATAGTGTAACAACACTGGCAGCGGTGTGTATCGTGTCACCGGCGTGCGTTAGCGTGCATGTGGATCTTTATGTGCTTGCACAAGAAAAACACCCATGCATAGAGAAACAGCTCCATAGTGCTACTAGAGGTCAAAAAGACATTAAAAAAAGTTCAGTCATTTGGTTGATTAGTTTCTTAATGTGGTTGCATCCATTTAATAACACAATAAACTGTGAATAGTTCACTCTAGCTACTAACATTGGGACAGTTGACTGAAACAACCAACATTAACTGTCAACAAATAACTTCTATGAAATTAGTATAAACACTTTTTTGTTCTTTTATATAGTTTTGCAATTTTTTTTTACGTACTATGAGAGGCTTGGATTTTATTTCACTAGATTTCAGCAGTACATTATGTTTTTCCACTGTTTTGGTTTTGGCTTTCATGAGGTTGCGTCATTTAATGAGTTATCGCAGCCAGAAAGTAATTCTGAAATTAGCATTCGTACTATAAACAGAGAGAAATTAGAATGATTTCTTACCCTCTCATTAACCCCAAGAGTCAATGCAGCCAATTCCCAAATATAATATTTAAGACTTTTACTCTTGAAGTCTTTCAAAATAAGTGAGGCAGCTCTGAATGGAATAGACTCATCATCCACTTTCTGTAGCTGTCAGGCGAAACTCTGTCCGTGAAATTAAATCACAGGGAAATCTGACTGATGGAGAGCTAATGGTGCAAAAATGTTCATTGCCAAATTTCTTTATGTTTTCATTCAGATTATCTGAGTCTTTTCTCGCTGTTTGCAGTGTCAGTGAAGAGCTTCTTGGTGAGTTTGAAGGAGTCTGAAGTGAGGAGCTGATCCAAACAGCTTGTTAAAACGTCTTAAGTGGTTGCTCTGCTCACAACTTGCACTCGCCATGTTCATGCCTGGACGTAGAGTTGTTTTACTGGTGGAATTATTATTATGACTCGTGCAGGCAAACATGAGGATTTGAAGCCGCTGTTTGCCCTGGAGAAGAGCAATTCAGAGGAGATAAGAGCAAGAGCTAAATGCCTTGTAATTACAAATGTTAAGCGGAAAGAATTATTTGTTGCTTTTTGTATATATTAATGGCTTTTATGCGTGCGTTTAACACTGTGTGTCTGTGTGTTTGTATCACAGAGTCTGTGGTGCCTAGTAGTGGCACTTTCCACGTCAAACTGCCGAAGAAAAGAGGAGTGGAGTTGGGGCTCACCATCAGTGGTAGGAGCACGCAAACATTGCTCATATGATCTATGCTTTGTTAAAGGCTGCTGGCAGAATGTTTAAATGTCATGAGACCACTATGTGCTTCTTCAGAAACACACTCACACACACGCATACACATGTATTTGTCAGGGTAACTGTAGCCTGCAGGTAGCTATAAACATCGACAATGTTTATACAATGGTAAAGATACCAGGCCACATACTATTTTTCACTCTGATGACACTAATTGCAAGCCACTGGCCTCATACTATGTGGCCACAAGTATGTGGACAGCCCTGTACATTTGTGATCTATTGGTCTTGAGGCTTTTCATGTTTTGGTCATAGCCACAGTTGCAGTTAAGGCATATCTTAATGCAACGAACGCAATTAATGGCATAGTCTTAGCATATGTTAATGCTACAGCATGGAATGATGTGACATTACTGTTCTTCCCACTGTGTGGCCACAGTTTGGCCAAAACCATTTCCTGTGGCCTGCCACAGTTTCATAATGAACTGGGAATACTTTTACACTTCTATCATTCTCACTTACAGTAAGTATCCTCGATCGATCGAATTAACCAGTGGACAATCTCCCCTCGCTCTGCCCCCCCCGGCCAGTGACAATTGCACATGCTCTGCAGAGAAACACCCCCTCCCCACGCAGCTTACCTGCTGCTGTAAAAATGGAATCACGGGTGATAAAAATGTACTTAAACATGACTTGGCTGACTTTTTAAAACATACTGCTGAAAAAAGTCAGCAGTACCAACAAACTGGTGTGTGTGTGTGTGTGTGTGTGTGTGTGTGAAAGAGAGGTACTGTTTTTGTAATGTTCAAGTGTTTTAACAAAGGAGTGTATGTTTTAATACATGGGACATATTATTTTGTTTTTGTTTTTTGCTGAATTGGTAACATGAATAGAGGAATTTAACTCGTATTGGTATCGGCTACTAACTTTCTGGTATGGTGACATCCCTACTGTGCAGCTCCATAAAGAAATGTTTTGCCCAGTGGAAGAACTTGCGTGGCCTGCACAGAGCTCTGACCTCAACCCCATCACGAGTCAGGCCTAATCACCCAACCTCAGTGCCCATTCTCACCAACGCTTCTGTAGCTAAATGGGAGCAAGTTCCTGCAGCCAGGTTCCTAAAACCTTTAAGGGTTTTATAGCAGTAGATTGTTGCCCATGCTTTTGGAATGAGATGAACAATGACATCAATGACAATCACATATAGCTGTCATGTTCGGACGCACACATTACTGTAAATGGGTGTCCACATTTTTTTGTCCTTATAGTGTTAACAACCATGGATTACATGAAGTTTTTTGCTAAATGTAAATCTTGATTTGGTGCAATTGCCAAAATGTCATGCAGAACAATCTATGTATTTTAAACAAAGTGGAACCAATCTGTAATGCTGTTATTTTTTGGTCCAATAAACAGCTTTATTGTGATGATTGATAAAGTTATTAATCACATACTTCACTGTAAAGCTTTAGTGCTGCTGTCAAGAGAGTGAGTAACACACTTCAGTCAATATGACCTACATTCAATGTTTAATTATTATTAATCTGGAATGTGTGTATACTTTAGTGTGCCAGTATACACTGTGTCATTTAAAGTAGAATGAGCTCAGTACCAGGTAGACTGCTGAACTTGGCATATTTTTAAATATTTGGAGTAAAGTCTAAATACTTCAGAGGGTATTACAGAGATTGAGACTGGTGTACCACTTTATGAATCACAGGCTGTGCTGTGGCAGTCTCTGAGGCAGCGGATGGTACAAAGGCGCCATCTTCTGAATGGGAGTGTTCATTGCTGAAAATCATCCTACAACATCAAAACATTTTCAGCCTCAGTCTCAGTGTCTGTTCAGGAGTTTAGACTTGTGATGAATGCAACTACGTTTAATGTTTTATTTAAAGATTTATTTAGTACAGATTTACCATCCTGTCTTCCATTTTCTCAAAACGAATGAAACTTGATAATGTAATTACTGTTATTATGTTACAGTTATTGCTTTTTTATTATCATTATTATTAAATATTTTGTTATTATTATTATTATTATTATTATTATTATTATTATTATTATTACCAGTAGAAATAACTCTTGTATTTGACAGCATTGTTATATATACATACTTTTGTGTTGTTACTGCTGCTGCTTAGTGTGATGTAATCTCCCTCCACAGCCAGTAAGAAGCCAGGAGAGCCACTCATCATTTCTGACATCAAGAAGGGCAGCATGGCCCACAGGTATCTTACAACGTCTTTTATATAATATTCCTCTGTCGGTGTAACTTGTGAATTTTTTCTCGTGCCTCAATTTATCTCTTCTAATGTATGTAGTGAAGTCTAACTCTGTAGTTAAGAATGTCATACAATATGTACAAGAAAATTCACAATTCTTTATTACTACTTTGATTTATTACTATATTATCAGTATACTTGCTTATTACAAGTGCTGCCTCATACTGAGCAAGATCCTCAGCTTGTAGTTTAATAGGTTCGTTCCACTCTGGTAAGTACACTGTGGGTTCTGTGAGTACAGTTTGACAGAAAGTTGACGAAGGACACTGTCGTAAAACCCTGATATCTGGTTCTGCCTTTATGTCTCTGTCACTTTCTTTCTCTCTCTTTCTCTCCTTCAGAACAGGAACATTGGAGCCTGGTGATAAGCTCTTGGCCATCGACAACATCAGACTGGAGAACTGTTCCAGAGACGATGCAGAGCAGATCCTCCAGCAGTGTGAGGAACTGGTCAAACTAAAGATACGCAAAGACGAAGACAACTCAGGTATATATGCAACTTAGGTGCATATGGTAAAGTAGAAGATTCTGGACTTTGTTGTTCTGATTTGTCTTATTTAATTGAATAATGTTGATCAGCTCAGCATCAGGCATCAGTTTAGGGAGCTGCACTAGCAGTGTTTGACCACTGGGTGGTGCTGCTGGCCAACTCATGGACTTCTGTTGCCGCTCTGAAAAGGTCATTCAAGATGCATTTTTATGGATTCATTGGGGGAAGAGAAACTATTGGAAACGGGAACAAATAAATCCAGGATGAAACAGTTACAGTTATTATGCAACCAAAACAAAGGAAAAAATAAAGAAAACGTACCTGCTGGTGTAGTGGGCTAATACCATGAGCAACATGTAGCAACCTTGATTTTGTAAGTCTTAATACAGGATCCTTGTGCTCAGCCACTTAGTCACACGTGACAGAGCTTGGATTTGTGTGATTCTGAATAATGGATGCATCCAAGTCACCAAGACATGTCACCCTGTTCCACTGTGTTTTGATATGATGTAAAAAAAAAAACTAAAAAAACACACATACACACTCACACACAAACACAGGAAGAGATTGTGTAATCGTGCTATTATGACTCAGAAGGTATATTCACATGCAAGCGCACACACACACACACACACACACATACACACACACACACCCCTATACATACACATACAGTGAGTAATGTGCAGAGATTGTGTTCATGGTACATGATGACAAGGCAGTCTTCTCCCTGGTTACCATGGAAACTGTGTTCTTCCTCACTACTGTTGTCTTGACAAGAGTTTTGACCTACTTCTTGAAAGAATTGTGTGTGTGTTGTTGTGTGTGTGCGCGCACATTACAAATTAACAGGTAATGTGATGCAGTATCACCTAGTGAACTAAAGTGTTTTAGTGTGTGTGTGTGTGTGTGTGTCAGATGAGAAACATACGTCAGGCAGTATCATTTGCTCCTTGGAACTGAAACATTAGAATAACCTGTGTGTGTCTGTGTGTGTGTATCAGATGAGCAGGAGACGTCTGGCAGCATCATCTACACAGTGGAGCTGAAGCGGTACGGAGGCCCTCTGGGTATCACCATCTCAGGCACTGAGGAGCCTTTTGACCCCATCACTATATCCGGCCTAACCAAGAGAGGCCTGGCCGAGAGGTACAATGCTCGCTTTCTCGCTGGCACACAGAGACACACACACACACACACACACACACATCGTTTTGTAAATCTAGGTTACCAGTTTGAGTTGTGGAGCATTAAGAAAGGCACTGCAGCTGGAGAGTTTTGGATTGTTCTGTTTTTACATATTGTAATATTTTGCTTCAGTACCAGTCTATACAGGATACAAAAAAAGTATTTTTGGTATTTTGGTGAGTAACACTGAATGTAAACAGACCTTTTGTTTGTTTACCGTAAACAGGGCACCTTGAACAGAAATAAAAAAAAATACACAAAATCCTGTGAGATATGTTGGCATGGTTTCTACATGTTTTAAGATGTAAGCAAGTTACTCAAAAAAAAAGACAGATGATGAGAAACGGATGGGAAAATTAGGTGAGGCCGGCAGAGAATAACGGTAATGGTAGATGGCATCACAAATAATTAAATAGTTACATAAAATAATATACACTAAATAATTGTATTAAACTTTTTGGTAATGATACGACATCACCATAGCAATGTATCATCAGGTTGTTTCTGTTTGCCGTCCTGCCCTTCACTTTAATATTGCAGTATCATAAAGTTTCTTGCATTTCAGTGTTTAAGATTTTTATTGAAAAGATAAATAGATCTACCAATCACAATAGTGGAGCCAAATATTAACCTTCTATTCTTTATTCTTTAAGCCCTCAAAAATTGTACCCAGAAAGGTCAACTACATACAAAATAAAATAATGCAATGCAATAATGCTTTTTTATTTATTTTTTTACAGGAAATGTGTTTCAGTGAAATGCCACAAAAGCTGCCTCCTGCAACACAGCCAATCATAGACCAGGAAAAGTGTGCAGCGTAAGGAGGGCCACATTGTGATGGGTAGACGACTGGGTCAGATCATCTCCAAACCTGCAGCTCTTGTGGGGTGTTCCCTGTCTGCAGTGGTCAGTACCTGAAAAAAGAACTGAAGACATGGCTCATTGATGCACGTAGGGAGTAAAGGCTGGGCAGTGTGGTCTGATCCAACAGACGAG